CCGCAGGAAGAGTCCGGGCTCGTGGTTTGTATCGTTTTTATTTTTATTTTTATTTTTTTTATCCGTCCTCTCATCTATAGTCTCCATCATTCACCATCCGTTTTTATTTTATTTCGTTTGATTTTGGTTAACTTTTCTTTTGGATCAAACATCAACCCCTCCATCTCCATAGTTGGCCGACCACCTCACCCCTAGCCTCTTCCCTCCTCCACAAATTTTGAATTTTGAATTCAAAATAGCATCTTGATTACCTTCCTAAATTAGATTTTTGTTAATTTGGAAAATCATTCAATTTTGAATTCAAATAAATTTGAATTTCAAAACATTTCCAATTTAATAAATTCGACATTAGGGAGCCTCCTCAAATTACTCTCAATCTGAAATTAATTTCATATTTAATTCGCCACATACCATTTAATGCTTGATCCACATACGTTGTATGTGGACACTTCTCCCTCTCCATATGGCCGGCCCCTTCTCTCACCTCCTCTCTAATTAATGCCTCTCCATTAAGGCCCTCAATCAACTCCAATCACCCCTAATAACCGCCGATCCCCATCCTCATCAAATCCTAATTAATCCTTCCCAATTAAGGTGACTTGAAATTCAAATTTTCCCTCCACTTCCCCCCTTTTTTGAAGTCTGAAATTAAATTCATATTTTAATTTTCAAATGACCCCTCCCCCATATCCGTTCTACATCAGATTTCTGATAGGAAGTGCTTGTATTCACAAGCAACCTATCCAAAATCGGCGAACCAACAGCAGCCAAATGGCTGTCCACAGCAAGAAAACAGCAGATTTCTGCTGTTTGCAGCAGGAAAACAGCACTTGTTCGGGAAAATACGAGAGAAAACTCAAGAAAAGACTTGTATTCCACTTAGACGATGAATAAAAGAGCAAGATACAATTGATCCTCAATTCGAGAGGAGGATCGATCTCTCCCAAATCTCTAGACGCCGCTAGAGCCCAAAGAAACCTAAATCTACGAGATCTCAAATTTCAGCCAAATTCCAGATGTCCAAACCCTAGGAAAAACAACTATTTAATGCATACAAATCAAAAGGAAATCCCTAAACAGCCCCTACATTCAAATTTCCCTCTCAAAACGCTAAAAAACGCTTCCTAAAATGTTCTAAAGGGCTGGTCGGGCCGCTCGATCTCCGCAGGAGGCGGAGATCTCCGCCTAATTTTGCGATCTTGGCCCGTGAACCGGTCCCGCCTGGACCGGCTGGACCGGTCCAGTGGACCGGTCTAACAATTTCCTTGTGGTTTTGCTGTTTTTCTGTTGTGGACAGCAAATTTACTGCTGTTTGCTCTTCGTTTGGTGTTAGGATTGCTGAGAACTCAAGTTTACCCTTAGGGTTACTTGCGAACTCAAGTATTTCCTATCACTTTTCTTATTCCTTTCTGTCATTTCAACATGGCTAACAAAGATTTGACATGCAACGTAGATTCTCAGTTAAAAATGTTTACATGCTATCTTTGAAGACAAATAATTGGCGAGAACTTGAGTAGTAGCATCTTAAACCAAATCTGATGTTACAGAGTCCCCTCACAAAGCCGCCAGCCACAAAGCAGCCACATCGAAGAGCTACTTATGCCTTTGGGCAATGCACGTACTCAAGGAAGTGGAGACATGGGTCAAGTGGGTATTAATGTAGCTGGTTATTAAGCTATTATGCTGTAAATAGGTACGTTTGGGTAATTAAAATTCATGAATATTTAGTGTAGTTAATATTTCATGCATGATTAGTGAGAATTTAGTTGTTACATAGGACATTTAAGGAGAAAAATGGATGTAAAATCATCATGATGAATGCGAATTTCTTCTTCCTCTAAATTAATTCTCTTCCTCCACTGTTTTTCCTTCATGTTACGTAACATCTGAATAACCAGGACAAAAAAAGTAGGACATTCATGCACATAGAATATGTCAATTTAGAGGGCAACAATTAGGTTGTCACCGTATGGAACATCATCACCATTTAGATAGAGATAGATGTTCTTCCTGCGGCACAAGAGTGTATTCGTGAAAAGAGCTAGCAATTAATGACTTTCTTCCCACCCGGAAATCATAGTAAGCCGGGAGAAAGATATTCCTATTCACCCAGGCACGGGATAAAGGGAAAGAGAGAGCCGAGAGACGGGAACGCAATCAAAAGAATTCGGGAATATTCTATTTTAGAATACATATGAGACTACCAAATCAAATTCAACTTCATTCCCCGAAACAACAACATAAAGAGAAATTGTTTCTTCATCTGCACCGGAAAAGAAAGAGCTAAGTCATGATCATTAATAACTTATTCCAACTATTTGGGACTACCTATTTTATGAATTTGGGACCACCTATTTTATGAATCCTCATCCTTCATATACACTCGATGAGCGTTGCATGAGGTTTGAATCTATTATGGGCAAAATATTTTGCACAATTTATATTTGAGTTATATCTTGGTCTACTAGTTTTCTTTTCAATCATTCTACATTGATTTTATCTAGCCATCTTTGTGGTGCATCTTCAAACTTTTCACTTATTTAACAAATTTAAGTTGAACTTAAATTAAAATTTGGAAATAGCCTTTATGAAAAATACTTTCCATCAACAAACAATTCGATAACAACAATAAAACACATTAAAAAAAATGACATCATCGAATTGGACAGCTTAATAGAAACAAACATAGAAGGACAATGTACTCCCAATTTAAAATTTTCCAACTGAATTAAAAGCTACCTACTAGCTACGATGAACTGAATTTCATGATTCATCACCCTAATCACCTTAATAAGATAATCTTAGACTATCATACTTCACCAAGCTCTATATGCTTTAACAACATTTTTGTTCCAGGATTTCGTCTCCATTCAAATCCACAAAGCCAAATTTTCCATTTTTTTCTTTTTTTCTTTTTTTATTGTGCATATTTAAGTAATACAGAAGTCCTTGGAATTGCTGGAATCATCTGCAGAGAGTGCCAATATATGCTTAATGAAAAGCATAGTCAGATCATCTCAATATTTTTCTGCAGCGTCGTTCAACATTTCAGGTTAGGAATAACCAAGGGAAATATTCATGATTTACCAATCCTAGTTACAAGTATTTTAGGGTCCGATTGATCATACAACACAAGCATTTTTATCTCATGAATTGCTAAAGCAAAGCCGATACCAAAATAAAAAAACTCGTTCTTAAAACCAGTATCGTGAATACAAATGAGTTTGGCCAAAATAGAAATGAAATTAAAACAAGAAAAGTCGTCATAGAAAGGGCATACCTAGTTTAAAAATATTCATTCTTGATCTAGCACGTCTGGTAAGTGTGAAGGACAGAACTAAAATCACAGCATCATAAAAATTGATCATAATTTTGGAAGATGCGCTTAGATTCATCAAATATCCATCTGTAAATTGAAAAGATAATAAGGAAACGCAAATAACAGAGGATGGAAACGATAATCAATAAAAAGGGCAATCACATCCTATATATCATAAATCCGAGATCTCAACGCTAAATTGGAGCTGAAAATGTCATCTATAGTAATCATCATCTTTCATAACCATTTCATTCTACAGGAATTCAACAGTCATAGCTGCCTCATCATGTAAACACTTTCATTCAATTATAACACTAGTAACTTTGCCATGTAAAAGCTACAAGTGGATATACTAAAACCCAAAAGTAGGACCTACAGAAAAAATGATTTCATATAAAGCGTAAAGATATTACCACAATAGAATAAATTAACATCAAAAGCATAGATGAATATTTAAAGAAGGAACCCTATAGGAGAATTACTTGCACATAAAAACTGAATGTAGGGCATCAGCCTTGTCTGCTAAAAGATTTCTTCTGTCCGTTTCCTCCCTAAATTTGTCTTCAGGTAGAACATCACATAAACCATAAATCGAACAAGCCAAAATTGTGCTTCTTCTATCTGAAGCATACACCTGCGACCAAAATACAAAATAGGATTAAAAATAGTACTCTTAAGTAAACAAAATTTGTAAGGAACTCAAGTGTTTAGCAGCGATAAATTGAAAAAATAAATTATAGATACTAAAATAAATACCTGAAGCAGATCAAATGCTACAATAAGTAAATAAGAACTATGCTTGCGTTGGGGTTTCTGAAGGGTTTTGATGCCTTTTTATTTAACTAAGGATATTGTAATGTTATTCAAATGAAGAGTGAATGGATGGTAAAAATTGATCTATAGCTAATCAAAATAGTTGAAATGGGCTGTGGATTTACATTTTAAGAGCCCAACCAATATCATACAATGGAAAGATAGATATGTCTTTTTAAGAAATAATTAAATGAAAATTTAAGGAAGAATTTATTTTAGAACAACATAATAAAAATTAGGAAATATTATAAATTGTTTCAAACTGAAGATAATGTATAAAAATAAAGATTAATAAAAGATATTGCAGTTGTTTGATTAAGAAATATTTGCAATGGAATTTCAAAGATTAAGAAAATGACAAATGAATGAAGAAGAAGCATTTTGGTACTATACTTATGTTTAAGAAAAATAAAATGGTCAAGATTTTGATAATTATATAAGAATAAATTTATAAGTCATATTACAAATTTTTACGAGAGTAATAGAGAGTCATATTACAGAGTTTTATGAGAGAGTAATAGAGAAACATATTACAAGGTTTAACGAGAGAGTGCTAGAAAATTAAATTGGGGAAAACTACATCCTTTTCCGTGAATCAATTTGGATTCATGCTAGAAAACTTAATTAAGGTGGTTTTTTTATAAGACAATTAATAAAAAATATAAATAATAATAAATTATTAACCTTGAGAAGAGATCTGATCCAATACTTTGAGAATTTATTTGATCTGCATTACGGAAGTAACATGTGTTTCAAAGGTATGATGAAATTATTTTAAATAAGCATGATCTTGCACTAAATCTCTGTTTAAAATTGTGCAATTCTGTCCAAAAGCGAGGCGTACGCCTCACACTGGCTGAGGCACGCCTCAGTTGCGCAATTTTGAGGGAGGCATACGCCTCATCCAAATGGTCCCACCCACTTAAAATGAGCCCTTCTTTACCCCCACACCCGTTCGACCCAGGTAATTCCCGAAAACTTCCGCCCGTAAGCTCCAGTTCTCGAAAAACAGAGGAGCCCGCACGGTCGGCCTCCATTAGTGTGTGATGATGTGTCGTCTGATAATGAGTGGTTCATAGATGATGAGACAGATTTGTCATTATCAGACTTACAGTTAGAAGATCTAAGTGTGGATGTCTTGAGGGGCGAAGCAGATCAAGTGGGCACATCCACTAGTACCACACCACACACATCCACTAGCTCTGCAGCACAACAATCAAGTAAAGGTATTCCACAATTTTTTATATGATATTGCATTACATTTATGTCAAGTGAGCAATGAACATGATAATGATCTTTTCTCTTATTGAACAGAGAAAAGAAAAAGCGAGTCATATTGAAGATGATGATGACATGGCAATCATAGATACAATTGGAGAAGAAGATTCACTTGAAGACCCATTTAGTGATGGGATATGATTGCATTTTATATGTTTTTTTTTTATTTTGGGAGTTTTGTTAAACTAATATTTTGTGATTTTGTACTTTGGGACATGATTTTATTGCATCTACTTTCTTACATTACACTATTTTCATATATCATTTAGATGTTTTTATTGTAAGATACAATATTGCTATTATTTTCATGCTAAAACCCTTAATTTTTCATTTACGCAATTATGTGTCCGTGAGGCTTACGCCTCAGACCGCCTCGAGCCTTACGCCTCGCCTCACGGACGAAAACAGACTCGAGGCTTAATTACGCAATTTTAAACCTTGCACTAAATAATAGTAGAAAGAGCTACAGAATGATAAAAGAGTTTCCAATTACAATGGGATTATAGCAATAATAAACATCTGAGTCCATATCTTTTTACATCTGTTATTAAGTGCTTTTTGAGGAAATTCACAATGAGATTTCTTATATGCTTTTTGTAAATGGCATAATTCTCATTAGGTTGCTGTTGAAATAAGTAAAAAAATTAAAAAGAAAAAGACATTTAAAAATAGAGGACCTAGAATCATTATAATAAAGACTAGATATATGATATGCATTTTTAGCAGGTGTATATAGGCAATTATCAATCAAGACTATTTGAAGATAACATACAACATAACTTTGATAGGTTTGGGTATCTTTGAAGTTTGATCTATCATGTAGAAAAAGGGGATATGAATAAGATATAAACTTTAATAATTAAGGTTAGGTGGCTAAATGAAAAAGTGCCTTTGTAGAAATTTATAATAAAATAATAATATTGAGACCTAAACATAAATTTTATAAACTGCAATTATTTTGGCTACGAGATTCTAGTTGAACCACAAAAAAATATTGCTAGCTAAGTAGGTATAGTAGAAATGAGTTTTAACATAGATATGTAGCAAAATTAAGAAATATTAAATATAGAATAATTATATTAAAGGTCAAATTAGAATAACATATATTGAATATAAGATACATGAAAATATACTCAAGTGATGTAGACATATACAATGAAAGGTGGAGAATGTGCTGAATGGATGGGTAGATAAATTAGAGGCAAAGGTTACGATGCAGTTACACTCTATTATAAAGTCGTATACAATGTCTGAGAAGTTCAAAACATGATATGCATGATATATGCAACTGACACCGTATAAGACACATCATCCATTTGTCAAATTATTTAAATTAAAAAAAAAAAATCACACACACATATCAGACATGATCGACACATGTGTCCTTGGATGGCTAAATTTAAATATTTAAATTTCTAAATGGTCATGCCCATATTTTATTTTCTTCAGTCGTTTATCCTTCATGTGAGGTTCTTCATCTAGCTAGCAACCATGACACGCACACAACAAGCCCGTAACTCACTTTAGCCTTCTCTTTTTTTAGGCCAATTATGATTTTCTTTCAGTTTTGATGACATATAATGTTTATGAAAGAAAAGAGAAACTTCTTATGTATTTTTCACATTTTCCTTTTTTTCATCCTTATAATATTAGAATTTAATAACATTTTTTTAATTATTATTTGTGCAATTACTATACAACATTTTTTTAATGTATAAATTATAATGTAATGTCTAAAGCATGTTAGTGTCATATATTTAATATAATAGACTCGTGCCTACATTAGTGCATCATAATTCAAAGGATTAAGAAAGAAAAAGAGCAAGTCTAAGGTAATATGGATATATGTTTCTTTTAAGAAAAAAAATTATAATCAATTAATGAAATGAATACAACATCAAGAAATTGCAAAAAATGACTAGTTGAAAAAACCAAATTACACCATCAAAGATAATTAAAAGCAACAAAGCAAGAGTACATTTGACGGAAGAGAATCCTAGGAATCCTCATTTAAAGCAAATTGCTTAAAGTCTGACAAATGTCACAAACCTTAAAGAATAACGATATTATTTTTTCCTATTAATACCTTTCTTGGCTTGAATATTTGAAACAATTTCTCTACTTGATCTTCTATAAATTTGGATCACCATTTTCCCTAACCAAAGCAAGGTCAGGAAGATCTAATACATTTACCGGACATGGGTAAATGACCTTGTGTGCAAATGAGTCACCAATAACCTCCACTAGGCTATGGACATTTAGAGAAGACTCTGAATCCATGAAAATATCTAAAGTGTTTTGAGTGTTTTATGTATAAATCTAATTAGAAATAGTTTGAATTGTAACTACTAAGTTTGAGAGTAAGTTTTGATCATTCGATTGCTCCTTTATGCTATGATTGCTTGAATCACTAAAAATGTTTATTACAAATTCTGAGTGAGCCTTGAAGCATCATGTGAAGTTATGACCAAATATTAAGAAGAAGAACAATGTGAAGGAATTTTTTTTTTTAATTCAGTCAGTAACCATAAGCAATAGAACCAATCCAAATCTCCTTCTCCAAAAGGATAGTAATTATTCATTTCAACCATGATCTTAGCAATTGATGGCCTATAAAACTTTGCAGTAGTAGCATCAACTTAAAGAAATTTTCAAAAAAAATAACATCAAGAGAAAAGTAGTGAATGAAAAGCCAAGAAAATGAAATCTAAATAGAAGTTATAAGTGGCTCCCGGAGCAATCAAAGTAAGGAGGCTAAGTAAATATCTACATAAAATAACCATCCAAATTATGATCTCTTCTTGAGAAAAGTATTGAATAATCAACATTTAGTGATAATTTGATAGGAACATGCTTGAATCAAGAAGCCCAATAGAGAAATCTTCAATTGATAAAAAATCGGAAATGAACCTACCAACAATTTCAAGATTGAGACACGACTACGTGAACTTGCCAACAATTGTGAAAAAGAAAGAACACTACCTAAAATATTGTTTCATAAAAAAATGAGTGTGGGTTAACCGTACAAGATGAAGTGCATCTTATGATGCATTGGTACTGAATTTTGCTAAAAATATATGAAAATCGAGGAAGCAAGTTAAGATTCATGACACACCATCCCCATCATAGCCTCTTCAGATAAAATGGGGAGCACACGCAGAAGGAGATTCCAAAGCAACTGGTATCCTAGGTGTAGGAGTGGCCAAAAGTGAATCCTCACAATGTGGAGTCACCAAAGGAGCTAAGGGCGAAGGCAATGAAGGGTCTAGACATAGATGAACTAACGATCAAGGGATGAATTGAAGCCAAAAGAAACAAAAGATTGTGATGTTGAATAGGATAAGAGGAACAAAAATTAACATGTTGTAGGTTGAAATTAGAACGAGTACATAGTAGCAAGGATGTTACTCTAAACACCAAAGCCGGAGAAGGAAAGTCAATTGAGAGAGCCGTAAGTCCTAAGAATAAACGGACATCATCGTGGTGAAAAGAAACATAAATTGGGGCAAAGTGCAAACATGCAGCACGTGAGTGTGAGGGGTTAAGCGTGATGCGGGTATTCTACATGAGAGGGTTTGATCGTGATGCAACGGGTTGTAAGGGTACCAAGCTCAACACAGGAGTCTTCCATAAAGCGATAACCCCTCTCAATCACATATAGAGGTTGACTAATGAACTGGTAAATCTGGCATCATTTACTAAAATCCTTGCTTTGTTACCTTACTGCTCCATAATCCTGAAATATCATCTACCTTGCAACATCGACCCTTAGAAATTATTACTTGATATAATTTTTTTCATGCATCCCATCTCCATAATCATCAACACTAAATTTTATAGTTTCACTATTTTGAAGTTTAATATCACGTAAATGGTGCCATCCGTTCTTCCACATGCTATCACCAAGTCGCATTTGATCACCTTCCAAGTATAAGTATAAAAGGTTGAGAACTTGAGATGTAGCATTCTTAACTACGCTGCCCAATCGAAATCAAGCTCTTTTTCAAGAATGTGCTTCACATTGTGAAGCTTCAATATAATCACATTATCAATTTGATATGCCCATTACCAAGCTAGTACTCCATAAGACTCAATATTAAAGATAACTGCATCATAAATATCTTCACTTAGGCCATCTCTGAACGAAAAACTCATTTTCCACTCCAAAATACAATAATATTCCAAAATGCAATAACCCATCTCTAACCGAACTTCATTTTCTAAAACCAAAAAAAGAATATTCTATGTATATCCATTCTCATACATATTTTTTATATTTATTTTTAATCATATCTTCATATTTATCAATACCATGTGACTTGGCATATCGATTCAATCCTCCGAATCCGACAATCCATCGCAAATGTTTCATCCCCCACATGACAATCAAGCTCTGCGACAAAGTTTTGTGGCTCTGCTCTATGTTCAGCCTACCCCCCCAAAAGTCAAATAGTGCAAATAGCACCAAAAATGCCCCGGTAGTTCAAAATGGCCCAAAAAGCTTAATTTTTTTTTTGCCATTTGATAGCACTATTTGCTTGATAACTGCCAACGCCAATGCCACTTGTAGCCCTTCAGATTTTATCATAATTTATTTATTAATGTTGTAGCTTAATTATATTTATTTAATTTTACATTATTTAAAATGAATAATCTAATTTTAATAAATTAACTATAAAAATATATATATTAAAATTTTAAAAATAATACATTTATAAATTATATTACTTTTAAAAATTAATAGTAAAGAAACTGTACTTGAAAAATTAATAAAGAAACTACATTTGAAACCCGATTTTCTAATTTTTCAACAAAAAAATTTTTTTGCGTCGCTAAACAGTGTGACACCACGGGACAATGTCATGCAAATTGGAGTTCGATTGGAGCGGCTGAACAACTGCATACACCTGTAAGGCGCTTAGTAGGAGATGGTCTTACAGCATTCAAGGATTCCACAAATTGATTCAAGCTTTTTCCACCATTCCTATGCAAACAATCTCTTTTCATACAGCTAATTTCACCAAATTGCCAATATATACCTGATACATCATAAGAAAATTATCTTGATCATGCACAAATCTTGAAGCAAAATTGAGTTGGAAACTTCAAAGATAAAATTCAGGAGCATCTGAACTCCGATTTCAGCGAGCTTATAGTCAAATTGAGCGTCTCGGAGACACGAACCCAATGACACAAAACTCAACCCAATCCGAGCCCAAATGAGTCTAAATCAAAGACCCAAAGCGCTGTTGGGAGATTCGAACCACAATTTGAGTTACCAAACGGTCTCCGATTTTCACGAGCTTATACTCGAATCGAACGTCTCGACGAGACGAATCCAACGAGCCCAAGATCGCCGAATTCCGACGTCATCAAGGCCTTAAAATGTACAACGAACGGTCCACGATCAAGAGATTCAATATCGACCGTCCATTCAAACCACTCCCGATTCGCCCTTGATCTCACACCTATTTACAAGTCATGCCACTCTGGATATACGTATATTGCTAAGACATTATATTTTTTACTCTACTGCCGCGTATATTATAGTCCGCAACAATACCACTGCTACTTTTAGATTGGCATATTGGCTAAGATTTGAGTCTTCCTTTGTTGTTGCCTATTGCTACACTTTTTTCTTTACTCTCAAAATTCAAAACATCAAAAGAAGAATGTTCACCTAATTCTCATCTGCTGATGTCCTCGCTTAAGATTAGGCACCGACATCATTTAAATTTAGTTTCATAGACTAGCATGAACCGTTGAGAGCTATCAAAATTCTAGCCCAACTTTCTATAGTGATGACAACAACCACAACGCCATGCCTAAACTTTGTTATCAAATCTAACATCAAGTAGCAACTAGCTTGTGGTCAAATTGGACTCATATATATGCATTGATGTGGAAGCACCTTTATTCATCTTGAAATTAAAATACTTTCTCACTGTATATGGCTTGTTCACTGTTGAAGGCTTCTCATACATGCTTGACAAAGCCTTCATCATTCTAGTTGAGGTCCCCTTGTGCAATATATTGAAGGAACCCTTCTTGATCAATATCAACCATATAACTCCCAATGCTCCTCTTCCTATAGTATTATTGGTTCAGGTTGCTCCACATAAACTATAAGAAAAAGGTGGATATAACTTTCCCTAGCATATGTAATCTTTGATACACATCATTCAACACCAAAATCATTCCATTAAATCGATCCATCCTCATCTTTCCCATCTTCGTACGCTATTGCTCCCAAACTTCTTGTAGACTCGAAAGCTATCGTAACTCTAATAATAATTTTTTGGAGTAAGTGTGTGTCAAAGAGAAATTATGCACAAGAGCAAAAAAAAAAGAAATTTTTTTGCAAGAATAACAAAGAATACAAGAGAGTTTGCATGGTTTGGAGAGATCAACCTACATCTAGGACTGCATAAAAAGAGAAATACAAACTAATCCAGAAACAAATATATTATACAAATATTTGCTCACTCAAATATGTATCACATACTCCCTAGTTTTCTTCCCTCTCCCCAGTATTCTCTCTCCAAAGGCCAAACCAGTGTTTAATTCTTCCGTCGATTATGCTCATTGAATATAGAAGAAAGCCTGCCATCTCTTATTTTGGACTTACCTCCAGCCCCTATAACAATCAACTATGTCCTTTTCTGGAAGTCTCTAACTTCCAACTGTCATAGTTGGGCCTTCAGCGCTCGTTGTCAACCACCCAAGAAAAAAAAATTCCTCTGTATGATACAGACCAAGATAGCTACAAACCTCCTATCAGTCCATCAATCACCTCTCCAATGAGGCTTTAAACATGGCTAAATGAAAAAGGAAGAATAAGTGATGCCCTTCAATACCCTTCAGCCATCCCCTACATAATGCTTAGAGGGGGTAGGTAACAAACTTGTAGAGATTAGATAGATAGCAATAAATAGCAGACAAAAATTAGACATTTTTTTAGGAATGTATGAAAATACATATAGTAAATTTTGATTTTATAATTAAGATTGGTGAGAAAATCATCTCAAAACACTCTGCCAAACCAAATTAAAGGTACTTAAACTTGTCAAACCTAGGTACCGCAATCGAGTTAAATTGTGATATCTAGGTGACATGCTAACTAATCCTTATCATTTTCCATCGTAATCAAGTTAAGTCATAATTCTACATTACTGGCAAACACCTTGACTTTGCCAAACAACAATTCAAGAATAAAGAATATGCTAAACTTGAAAAAAAATAAATCTTCTCTTGCTTCTAAGGAAAAGAAGAGCATACTCCAACACTTTAAGCCCTATAGTTATGAACTAAAAAGAGACAATCTCACACAATAAATCTCCTTTCAATCCATCCAAGCTTGTTAGATAGACTTTTAATAGAGGAAAATTGTGTCAAGGACCCTTGACCCAAAAATAGGGTCAAGAGTGCAAGACGACGACGACGACGACGACGACAACAACAAGCCTTTGTCCCACAACGTGCGGTAAGCTACATGAATCTTTTTTTCTCCATTGTGTCATGTTAAGAGTAAAATTCTCATTTAAATCTAATAAAGAAATGTCATTTTTAATAATTTTATGACCAAGTCTTTTTAGGACTACCTCTACCTTTATTAACATAAATCAAATCTAATGCATCTACTCTCCTAACCGAACCATCGGAAGGCCAACTTTTTATGCGACCACTTTTTTTTTTTCAGGAGTGCAAGACAAATGAAATATATATATATATATATATATATCAAAAGCACAAGAGGAATGAACAAAATTTAAAATCATTTCATCTATAATATAAGACAATGCAATATTTTCTTGCAACAAATAATTAATTTGAGTGTCATTTTGTGGTACAAAATAGCTTTCTTATAATTATTTTATATATGTCTTGTATTTTGGATTACATTGCCTTAGACTCAAAAATGGGTTAAAAGAACCTGACGCAAAATTTCTCCTACTTCATTACATGTCAAAACATGCATTCATGCAAGAAGCTTGAAACCATAGGCCACATGTTTGCATGGGATAAAATTAAGAAAATAAAAATGAAACCATAATTTATAATAAAATACAAATAATAACTGACCTCATCTTTCACAGGAGTTGAAGGTTGACCAACACCCTCGGGAAGATTACCAGGCAAGTAATACTCATTCACAATGGCTAACTTTGAACAAACTTTATTGTCTTCCCACAAAGACTTTCCAGCAGAATAAATTAAATAAATCATAAATCAGTAAACAGAAGAAAGAAATGTAAGATTTTCATGCACAATTAATTACAACTAAATAAAATAAAACAGTAGATTGTATGATAAAGAGGAAAAATGGGCACGCAAAAGTCTCACCAGAAGTTTCGCTGGATAGAAGTTCTTGCTGTTGGTAGAAACTATAACATTATCTTGAAGGTTGATGATACAGCCATTAATGCGACAAGACCTATAATAAGCTCTATTCTCCGCAACCTCAAGGATATCACCAACCCAATCTAATCTTTGCAGTTCTTCTACTAATGAGTTGCCAGAATCACTCTCATTCTGAAGAATTTGGCCACACATCATCTGAGAACCATGTTCACCCTCTAAACTGACTTCTAGCACTTGATTTGAAAATGCTTCTGGTGATTTAGGAAATTCTTTTAAATCATCAGTTACCATTTTGCTTGGTTTTAGCATTAGATCATCTGCAGATTCAGCACGAATTGGAACATCTACTTCTTTAATAGTCCGCAAGTCACTGGTTAACTGAGACTGACAAGCAGTTTTGACAACAGTTTCATGTTTTTGGTTAGAACAAAGGTATTTTGCTTGTTCTATATCTGGCATAGATCCAGAGACAGATCTCTGCATCTCAGATGTAAACAATGAGCTTTGCTCGGGAAGCTCATCAAAGTTCCTGGATTGAGAATCAGAAGCAGGTTTCGTTCCCTCTGTTTCTGGTGATTTGATTCTTGCAGTTTGACCATCAGAAATTCCAATTTGTGCTCCATGTATGGCAGATGCCAACCCACTTTTTTCCTCCAAGTCACTGATTGATGTTCCTGAATACATCCCTTCTCCGTTTCTCTTCCCATTCATATTTAACACTTGGACAACACTGGATGAGCTCAAATTCTCATTTTCCATTGACTTCTGATATTTAAACTTGGCTTCTGGAATTTCCCCATTCTTCTCTGCCAATATGGTTCCACCTCCACTGGAAGTAGTCGTCACTGAAGGAATATTCCGAGTAACACGACCATATTTTGGTGGAAATGGCTTGCCATTGTTTGCTGACAAGCATTTTGGACAGTGCCAATCGGCTTTTGGAATGATTTTGGTGCCATTCAATTGAAGGCACTTCAAGTGAATTCCTTTCTCACAAGCATCACAAACAAGTAAACTTTCCACATCAGTAATAATTATCTTACATACTTGGCAATTAAGAGGTTTGGTTATGTATTCAGTTGACGGAAGTGGTAAGTTTGGACAATCAGGAACCTTTGTTTGCACAACACCCATCACACTTTTAGCAATTTCATTGTGATTGCTGATAAAAGAAGGTACATGCACAAATGTTAAACCTTGTGAAGTTTGATTTCCTATGACCATGTTTACTTGCGTTGCATGAACCACAGGACCTTTTGTATCATGTGCTTTCATCATCTGGTGTGAAGCCTGAATGGCTTTCACTTCATGATTACCCTGTGAATTAACATCTGGATTTTGTGTTGCTAGAGCAGCAGATGTTGATATCCCTGAAGCTGAAGGCTTTTCCATTAGGTAATTGGTAGCAGCAGTAGCTACATTTCAAAATACCCGATGTCAACCAAAATAACTCAAATATATTCATCCGAATTACTCAGAAAACGATATCAAAATTATATTTCGATAATGTTCAGGCCAAAAAAAATGTCAACCAAATATTTTACTTTTAGTTGCTTAATATTATTTCTCTCGTACACTGAATATCAAAAAGGGAGTCGTATACTCACTGAACATCATAAACTAAAGGGTTTTACTATATATCTTACAGTTCTTCTTTTGTAGGTTTCTTTTCTAAGCAAATTAGAATAGCGATTAAAAAAAATATTCTCCTTTATTTGACCAATAAACAATATACCAGACAGCAGAGCATCAAGTCACATTGTAAATTGGCCTTGCATCACCATCAAAGAACAGGCACAATGTCAGAAAATCAAGCAGGATACACAAACCATACCACGTAGAAGAAAACTTGATCACTTAAAAACCTAAATTTGGAAGAAAAAAATATATTCATTCAATGAGAAGAATACCATAGGTTAGGAAGCGGATGCCTTTGATTGGAATTATACCCAACACTTATTTCTTTTTTATCCCATATCAGGACGATCAATTTTTGCCTGCACTTTTCTAATTAATGAAAGACTTTTTTTGACACAGAATGAAAGGGTAAACACTCAAAACGTGGGGTGGGAGATCTTTGCCTCCTCTGATTGTGAAACTTATATAGAGGCATCTCAGCCATACTCATCTTCGAGTCTAGTTTATGAAAGTTAGAGTAGGTTGTTAGACCTTATTGAACTGTCCCAAGGCTAACCAAGAGGAGATGAATTGGTAATTTTTTAAAATTTCTTGGATTTTCAAAAACCGTTTTTAGAAAGTTCAAACAATGATCCTGAAATATGCAGTTGTGTAATAAACTAATTATCACAATAAATTTTTCAACCACAAAATTTTGAAGCACAAAAAAATAAAAATACAGAAAAAGTAAAGTGAACAGAAGAACACCAAATTTATAGTGGTTCGGTCCAAACTAGCCTACGTCCACTCCCTGAATACTCTTTCTCCATGTATTGCACAAAATCAAAGTGACTCTCCTTTTGCCCCCACAGCAAGACAGAGAAGCCTTTACAAACTCTCTTCCACCAACCCCGATGCGGCAGAGTAGCGACATCCTTTCTCACCCTTCTGGTGACGGCAGAGAACTTTCGTCCTTTTTCACCCTCCTGGTAACGGCAAAGTACTGACGTCCTATCTCACCCTCCTCGTGACGACAGAGTATCGCGACACAATGTTGAAGATCTTCTCTCAAAAGCCTCCAAAGGAGATGGGCAAAAATTTGAAGAAGAAAAAGAGAACCTCGCTTTGGGCAACCTTGTGAATCCCTCACAACTCCTCACTTGATCTCTCACACTTCACTCTCACAATCTCTCTCAAACACTCACACTCAGTGGCCACTCTCAAGAGAAAATTGTAGCAAATGTATAGAGTGTTAGTTTTTATATCACTTATACATGAAACACAAGAAAAACCATCCTAGAAAACTGAAAATTACAAATCAACCGACTTAAGATCGTACAGTACGATTAAGGATCGTTTGTACGAACAGTTCAAAAATCCATGTACGAGCCTTATTTTGTCAGTTGTCTATAAGAATTGACATTGTACTGTACGAGCAGTTCAAAAATGAGCCTATTCGTCTGATACGATCCTGTACGAACCTTATTCGTTCTCTATCATCGTATGTACGAACAAACATCGTATAGTATGAACAATTAACGCAAATCAAGCTTCGTTTGGTACGAAAAAGGGGACGACCCAATTTCGTACTATATCAATCGTACGTAAGAACTTGCATCATACAGTACGAACAATACAAAATATCCCATCCACCTTTGTTAAATATCCTCTTCTAATAAAAGTATTTTTTAATTTTCATCCTTAATGCATTTCACTTGAACAAAATTCTTATTATCATCCACCTTTCGCCTTCCTTAGTATCTAATGTATTATATAAATCATTAAAAGCTAAGATATTTGCATCGTATATTGTTTTCTTAGACTCCTTATAAGTTTCTTTATATATTTTTCAATTATCATAATTTTTATATTTAAACAAATTTTTATAACAAAACTTCCTCTTTTTTAATCTTTTCTTGCACATTTTGATTCCACCACCAACTATTTTTACTATTAGGAGCTTTTCTTTTTAATACCCTAAACACATCTTTTGTAACATTTTTAATATAACTAGCTACTTTTTCTCATATTACATTAGCTTCCTCATGCACAGACAAAATCTTAAAATCTATAATCTTACTCTCAAAAATTTTTTTGTTAATATTCTTTAAATGTCCTCATCTAATCCTAGAATAACAATTTACTTTTTTTTTTTGTTCATTTATCTTATAGTCCAAAATTAATAAACAATGTTGGGTACATGGGTACATAAATTTTCATTTGGAATAACTTTATAATCTTTGTAATCTAAATGATCTATTTTTCTTATAAGAAAATATGAAAACTGAATTTTACTATATTTATTCTTATAAGTGGTGAGATGCTCAAATCTTTTCTTAAATAAGATATTAGCAATTACAAAATCATAAGCTAAAGAAAAATCTAATATGATCTTACCACCTTCATTAGTCACTCCAAAGCTATAACCATCATGAATGCTTTTAAAATCATCTACCTCTCTACCAACATGTCCATTTAAATCTCCTTCAATAAAAACTCTTTCTTCAAGAGGTATTTTTCATATTAATTTTTCTAAATAATTCCAAATTTTTAATTTTGAACACATATCCAAACCTACTTGAAGAGCATAAGCATTTATAATATTAATAATCTTAGTATCAACAACAATCTTTAAAACTATAATTCTATCTCTAACTCTATTAATTTTTATAATATTATTCTTCAAACTCTTATCTATAATCATACATACATCATTTCTAGTACAATTTCTACTAGAATACCATAGTTTGAATCCTAAACTATCAATCTTCTTAGTCTTCTCTATAACACATTTAGTTTCCTGAATGCTAAAATATTTATTTTTTATGAATAATAATATACATTAATTCTATTAATTTGTCTGTAAGGGAACCTATATTTCAAGTTCATATCCTAATTTTAGTTTCATCCACTAGCTACTTTGCCCACATCTATCCATGATATGAGAATCCTTGCCTATTTAACATTGGACCTGAATGCCGGTGCAGGGGCCCTTGCCCGCTTGTCGCTGTATTCAGGGCATACAATCCATCGCTTCCAGGGAACGCCCTAGCATTAACACAATATATTAAAGATTCATATCATGATTATTCGATAAATTTTACACTATATGTCTATTACCTAACGCAACCCTCCACTTTTATCATTCAGGACTTGGGACCAGACAACAACAATGTTTTAATTCTTCTAAGTCATTTTAAAAATTTAATTTTGAATACATATCCAAACCGACTAGTTCATGAATGGTCATTCGGCCAACAAAATTTGATTTACTAATCATATTAGTCAACATACGACCAAATTTCCGCTTTAGAATTATGTAAGAATCAAAGAGGTCTAAAATAAATATAGAAAAAAAAAAAAAGCTGAGCTTATCAGTAACAACATCAAGCACTTGTTCCACTACGTGGGGTCGACTACATGAATCATTTTTTTTCATTGTTGTCCTATTAAGAATCAAATTCTCGTTTAAATCTAAAAAAAAAAGTCATTTCTAATATTTTCTAACCAAATCTTTTTAGATCTACCTCTACCTTTCTTAATAAAAGTCAAATCTAATGCATCTACTTTCCTAACTAGGTCATCGCTAAGGCTACTCTTTCTAATCTTATCTTCCATTGGAGCTACTCAAACCTTTTCACGCATATGCTCATTTCGTATCCTGTGTTAGAGTAAAGTCACTCATCCACCTGAACATCCTCATCTCTACAACACTTATGCTTCTCTTTTACCAGCAACAAAAAAAATTAATTTTTTGTAAAAAGGGTTAAATATCCACTAGATGTCATTGTTAACCAAACAAAATACATAAGCAACAAAAAGTGTAGGAGCAAAAATAATGCAGCACCAGAATGGGAATGAACAAAAAAGAGGAGAAATAAAATGGTTTCCAAAACCATACGTCGAACAAGTGTAAAATAAGTTGGTCCATTGATCCGTGCATCTAGCCTTTGATTTACAGCTTCGACACTTGATGTTGCAACTGAAGATGAATCTTTTATGGAAGATAATTTTACAAGAGCAGTCTGTGCTTCACTCATTGGTGTCTGTTTCATAGAGGAAGAAGCTAGAGCAGGAATATGTGCAGCTGAATTATTGGGAAAACCTCCAGCTGTCAATACCATTGGACTCGGTTTACTAGCAATTAATCTTTGGGATCCATGCGATTCAGAGCTTGGACCAAAGCTAGCTGAATGAGGTACAGAAGCATGAGCAGAAGCTGTATGGTCTCGTGACTCTTCCATCTACAGTAAAGAAGGTGAAAAGCTCCAGCGTCAGATTGAGCTATAACAATGTAATATAACGGAATTAAGTTGAAGGTTATCAAAGTATGATAGAACAAACAATAAGGCATTGGAATGACAAAATGAGGCATGTTTAACTAGTTCATTCGGAATGTGTTTAATCATATCTCCAGTTTGATGCAAAGTCCCAAGAGAATGCCAAGCAAATTAATAATATGGTTGCCAGTATTTTTAAGACACAAGAACCAGTGTTAGAAGATTTATTTGTTGCTTATGAATGTTATTTGAGAGCATAAAATAATTCATAGGCCCTAAATTGATTGCTTAGCCTTTAGGTTCATAAGTCCGCCATTATTATATTTGAATCTGAATTATCATTAATTGCTAGGTTAGAAACTTCTAAACCCCAATTTCTACAAGGGTCGGGGAGCCTACTTAGTATTCATTAAAGCACTTGACTGAATCAAAATAATCTCCATTTTGGGTTAAGAAAACAAAGTCATTCTATGGCCTTAACTTCATTTCATAAGCTCTTAGATTACTGCGGTTAACCGGCCTGGTAATAAAGTCTAAAAGACTAGCCGTCCCAAGTTTGTGTGATTAATATTCCCATCATTTCCATTTATTTCTGAAGTTTACCATCAATTTCTTGGTTGTCCCCTGAATGTTGTTCAAAACTTTAGCGTGCTTCTAATCACCACAGGTGCTAAGAAGCATAAAATAATTCATAGGCCTAGCCGAATAACCGAGATTTTTTATTCATGATATCAAGAGGGAAGGGGCATTTAAACAAAACATCCATCCATCTGCAAAAGAAATTCTGAGCTGTAGTGAAAAATGTATTAAAAAAAAAAGTGCACTCTCAAATTTCAACCACTTTTACTCAATGAATTAAACAAGGCCACTCAATTACATAAACCTCTCCATCAGGACATAAACCGCTCCTTCAGGAGCAATCATCCTCATCAAATTCTATCTAGAACGGATCTATCAGTCACAATGCTCAAGATTTCATAAATCACTTAATCCAATAAATATTCCTAAGCACCATCTTCTCGTCCAACAAATTACTCAAATATGCAAAGATGCAATCAAAACCCTCGGGAACTAATATCAAATCATACCAAAAACTGAACCATTCTTGGCTCAAAGCCAACCAACATCCTAAATAAAACGAAGAAATTATAACGTAGAAGGAAATTGACGAAGCCGAGAGGGTCAAAAGGGATGCCAATAAAACAAAAACAATTACCTTTTTCTTGGTTTGTTGCACTCTCTCGGCGATAGAAATCTTAGGCCGGAACGCCAGCACCGGGTCCCTCGATCGATTCAACCCCAGATCCTCAACCATGACCCTGACGGCCTCACTGGAGAACAAGTCCTTAGGCCGAACCTCCTCACATAACCGAGCTAACCTCTCTCTCGCCTCCGCCGCCAAAGCCTTCTCCGCCGCGGTCGGATCCTTCCCCGCTCTCATCTCCACCATCGCCGACAGCACCATCATGATCTGCGCCACTCTCCGCAGCTCCTCTTCTCTTCCTCTTCGTTTCTTCGCTGGCGGAGGATGCGGTGCTGCGTCGGCCTGCGTAGCGGAAGCGATACGCTCCCTCGCTTCGTCCCCCATAGACTGGGGCGGGAAACCCTAGCGAGGGAGAGAAGGAGCAGACGAAGTGAAGGACGAATGGAGAGAAGGGTGTCTTTCAAAAGGGGTTTTGGCGGGGAGTAGAGGTTTTATATGTCTTAAAAAGGGCAAATTATTGCATCAGGTCACCTGACAGAGAGATGCGTTCGGTCTCTCTCTGTCTACAGTAACCTGACAGTAAAGCGCAGGTTACTGTAGACAGAGAGAGACCGAACGCAGAGATGCGTTCGGTCACCTGACGCAATAATTTGCCCTTAAAAAGGGAGGGGAATGCCGTATTGAGATGGCGGTGTGAGAGTTCGAAGACTTGAGCCGCAGATCGGGGGGAGAGAGAAGGGAAAAATCGAGGTGAAAGGGGGGCGGAGTTTTTTATATAGCGGATATATTTTGATAGGCTACTTAAGTCCGGAGAATGCAGCCTAGGCGCTGGAAACTGGGTCTAACACGAAACACGAAACACGAAACACGAAACACGAAAATGGGGTTCTGATGGATGCGTGACACGTTAATACTTTTTTTTTGGGAAAAATTGGGGCAAAGCCCTTGTATTAATCACCAAAAGTTACAGGAAAAACAAAATTACAAGTATAGAAAAACAACTATACCAAAACCCCCAAAGAAAATTCTAAAAAGGAAAAGATCCTAAGGACTCAGGAAAATGGTCTACATCTCAAAGGCATCAGAGCCAATATCACAAAAACCGCCCATCACGAATGTCACATAGGCACCGGTTGCCCAGAAAAATAACAGGGCCGTCGCAGTGCCCAAAATACGTCAACCTGGTTGCCAGGAAGACCTTCCTAGGAGACGCAGGAGATGTAGACCGGCTCATCATTGTCCCAAAAAACAACTGCAAAATTCCAGCGGAAGAGAAGCTGGGCAGAAAATTCCATGCATTAAACTTAATCAGTAAGAAGGTTGAACTTTCAAAAAGGTCTTCCAGTAAGATGCACCACAATCTGGGCATGAAATCAACTAAAGTCCCCATAAAATGCATGCGCCTGTATAGTAAGCAAAATTTCTCAGCCCAGGATTTCCGGAAATATTGGCTTGATTTTCTCAAAACTCTTCCAGTTACTAACTTTTGCTCGAATCGCATGAATAATATCAGTTTTAAGCTCAATGGGGCTTCTCCCAATGGTAGAAAATCTCCTATTATTTCTTTCACGCCACAGATAGTAAACCAAGGCAGCCAAAGAAAGGTAACAGAAATTACGTTCATGTCTTCCGTGAGATCTCAGATTGGTCATGAAATCAAATGTTTGTAAAATGTTTGGTCTGAGATAAAATGTGTTCATGAATGGAAAAAGACCAGTAAGAATATAGAAGGAGTAATCACATTCGAAAAAAATATGCGAATGAGACTCCAAATGATTCGAACAGAAACCACATCCAGCGCTAACATTAATACCCCTCATAAAGAGATTGTCGGCTGTTTTTAATTTCCCAATAATGGCCATCCAGATAAAGCAAGCAAAACGAAGCACATGACCTTTGTGCCAACCACCACAAGCCATTGCAGGAGATCACCTGCCACAGTCAACCACAAGCCAGATAAAAAAATTTAATCACATGCATTTATTTTACACTCATCAAATCAACTCCAAAGCATTTCAAATGCACTGCATTCTTTTTAATATACTAAAGAATGGAAAAAAAAAAACTTCAAGTTGCAAATTTGAGCTCAAATCGACGCCAAATTCAGTCAAATTTGGTTCGACTAAGCTCGATTGTTTGATTTGGATCGATTTTGGGTTAGTTCGTTCAATTTGACTTTAATTTGATTAAATTGAATTTAATTTGATTTAATTAAAGCTTGATTTGGGTCATTTTAGTTCGATCGTGCTCGATCGAGTTGATTGATCTCAGTCAAGCTCGAATCGATTTCAATCGTGGTTGATTTAGCTCGATACGAAAATATATGTCAACACAGCGAGTCTGTCGAATAGAGAAAGAAATTGCAATTGGAGAGAGAGAGAGAGAGAGGATTGCAGCAGCTTGTTCGGTTCGATCGCGTGCAACGTTGCGGCGTGTTAACATGGGAGCTACCTGTTATTTTTTTCTCTCTTAAATTTATAAAAAAAAAAGTTTAAATAAAAATTCTGACCGTCATTGGGTTCAAGGCAACTCAATTAAATTAGACAACAACAACATCAACATCAAGCCTTTATCCAACTACGTGGGGTCGGCAACTCAATTAAATTAGAGTAATAAAAAAAAATGAACTCACCAACGATAAATTCAAACATGCCAAGATTCATCTAGACAAATTCTCCTAAGCTCCTTAAAACAAATTGGCAACCTCCTTCAAATAATTTGTGCTAAAAAACTATTTTAAGAAGCATTAAAAGTCAATTTGGGACAACCAAAATTTTTATAAAGATGATCATAAAATTACTGTGAATAAAATAATTTTTAAAAAAGCTGATGTATAAATCAATTTCCTAACATAATTTTCTTTAAAAGTAATAAAAACTAATGATCAAATATTAATTATGATTAAAATATAAAAAATAAAATAATTAAAAAAACGGTCACATTCAAAGCCTAAATCATTGACTTCAAATAGTAAGCTACCGGCCACATTCATTGGACTCTTGGATCAAGTCAGTCTATTCAAATATAATTGAGCAATATGATTCATATTTTACAACAAACAATCATTGGACCTTATTCTTATTTTTACTTATTTACATAGCCCCAACCAAAATTTATAAATAAGGAGTCAAAGGTTAAGCCCGGGATAAAAGCCTATTTAATAAAATCTCAAGGCTTCTCACTCTAGTCTTTAGAAGTTAGTAAAGCTTCGTTTGAGACGCCTTTTTTACTGCTTCTTAAAGCAAATTTTTAGTTAAAAAATTAAAAATTTTGTACTAAAAAATATTTCAATAAACAATAAAAAAAGTATCCCAAACAAAACCTAAGACACCAATTCACACCCACATAAATGTTTAGATCAAACGGAATTCAATCCGTAGGGAAAAAATGTATGCTTAAGTAGGCTATTGTATATGAATTTGTGTGCAATAAAATAAAAATATTATCATAATTAAGTTGAATAAAATAAAATAAAATAAATATTGAGGAAAAAATAAGATAAATCTATATAATATAATTAAGAAATGATTAAATAAAGAAGATAAATAGCCTTTTGACTCATCTGACAGTGCTTTTTATTGCCCGATTATTCCTGTTTTAAATCGAAAATCAATTTTGGGGCATTCTGTGAAAGACAATACAGCTTCTGTTTGAAAGAAAAATAACTATATAAAAATTATGATACGAGAGTTATCAGAAGTTGATCAAATATTGTTTTTTTAAAACACTTATTAAATAAAATTAGGACTTTCATCAATTATTAACAATAATTTCACAAGCAATCGTATGCTTCACAACCGTGAGAATAGGAGAGCGTATATACTATAAACTAAAGGTTACACAGGCAGAAGTTCCTAAAATCCACCACAGGGCCACAATAGTTGGAACAAGCCTAATAAGTTTTCCCCCAAAAAAAAATAAAAAAATAAACCTAGGTTTATAAGAGAAACATTGTTACGCGCGTTTGGAGGCCAATTCAGACGAGCCACATCACCAAATATATAATGCATTGATAACGTGATGCGTCCGAATTAATCTGCGGATGCATCCACACGTAATAATCTCTCCTAATAAGATGAAGGATTTTTCCCCTCATTTCTGAGATTAATTATATTATATAGATGTGAAACGTTGTCTGGAGACCAATCAGAATGCACCACATCACCCCTTCGCTCTGTACCGTAGCTCGATACTGCTCAATATCGCTCGGTACCACTTACTGACGTGGCGCATTCTGATAGAACTTCCTAATAGCATTTTGTGTCCGGCTTCTGCACAGAATAATTTCTCCCTTACTTCTGTGGTGCTCATGTATGTTTAATTAAGCTTTTCTTTTGTGATATCTTTCTTAATGTTTTTTAAAGTAATTTTTTAATACAAAATTTTCTTTTAACTTGAAATTTTTACTAAAAAAATTACTCTAAAAAATAGTAAAAAAAAAATTATCCCAAATGAATCATCAATTCCAGGACAAAAATATACCTCAGATTTCCCCAAACATGCCTTCTTATAATTTGATCTCGAATATAATGCGGTGAAACAGCACTAATAGGTGTGAATAATCCAGATACAATCAATCTCGTATACAATCTAGTTCTTGAGAAGACCACTTACAAACAAATTAATAGGTGAATAATCCAGAGCCTCTTTTGGTTTTACAGTACAAATTTCAAATACTAGATAAAATGCAAGTCTTTAACAATTACTATTAACACTTAGGCTTCGTTTGGGACAGCTTTTTTGTTACTTTATAAAATTACTTTTTAGTTAAAAAATTTATAATTCAATAAATTTTTGTACTAAAACGTCGCTTTAGAAAGCAGCAAAGAAATTGTCCCAAACAAAACCTTAATTTCCATCTCTTAAATTTGAAATAAATTTCTTCTTTAGAAGCAATTCTGCAAGAAATTACTTGTACAAGAATAGACTTTCCTGCAATTGTGCTAAAAGTAATTTACAACTTTCTTTCTATAGTAGAGATAATAGCAAATAAGCAATGCAAAATAGTTTGGACGGTCCTTTGAGAATGGAGCTCATACTCCATTTCATTAGAAAGCCAGGTACAATGATCACATATCCAATACAAAAGAAACCTTCTCATACCTGACCAGTATCAATAACAAAGGAATCCATACATTAGCATTTAAGAGTATGATGATCTGAATCCTTCTGTAAGGGCCACAACTTTGGCTGACACTTTAGGCTGCAACTTCAAGATAGCTTGCCGAATGTCCTGCAAAGATCAGACCATTCTTTAGAAACGAAGTGATATAAATGCAAATTTGAAATCAGAAGGCATGTATGGGTTCACCTCAACTTTGTAACGGGATGAGAAGTGAGTGAGTAAGATTGCCTTGTTGCGAAACCACTGGGAATGCTCCAGGATCTACAAAACAAGAGCAAGATTATGCATGATTAAAATTTAAATAGAAGAATTTCGACCTTGGTTTAGCAGGTTGAGAGAATATAACAGTTAAATAACTTCCACCTAATGTTAGACCTGTCAATATTGGACCCGACCCGAACCCGATCCAAAACCCGGGAATGACCCGGAAAATGGCCTTGCCCGCTCTGACCGGTCCTGCCCGCCTGCCCAGTGGCCCCGCCTACCCGCTTTCCCTCGTGTCGCCGTCGCTCGTGTCGTGTCGCCCGGTTCGCTCGCATCGTGTCGCTGCATGCTTCCGGCCTGCTGCCGCCGCTGCCACGACTGTCGCACAGCCCGTGCTGTCCGTCGCGTGCAGGAAAGCAGGTCAGATCGGGTTGACCCGAACCCGAAGCGGGTCGGGTTCGGGTTCGAAAATTCGACCCGTTTGCAAAAACGGGTCGGGTTGACCTGAACTCGAATAGTGACGGGTCAGTTCCAAGTTCGACCCGTGACCCAAAATTGACACCCCTACCTAATGTCATCTCCAATGTAATTTTAAATTTCTATGTGCTTTGTACACAGTGGCGGAGCCACAAAATATATTTTAGGGGGGGAGGGGGTGGCTAAATTAATTTTTTTTAACTTTTCCCTCAACTTTTTACATCTAGGCTTGGATCGACATAGGAAGTTTAAAATTTTTTTCTAAGAAGGTAGAATATTATATATAAATTAATAAACAACTTACACGAAAAAACTTTGGTAGCATAGAAAAATTAATTTAGCTATTTTGGTAGTAAAAAAACTTCCTCTATAAAAAAACATTTGAAAAATAGCTAGAAAACAGTAGCAAAAAAAATATGATAATTGTCTTAATGGCAAAGCAGTTAGAAAGTTGTCCCAAATAAGTTCTAATTATATAATATTTATAAAAGTAATATAACATAAAATTATATGATATTTTTATCAAATTAAAAAAAATCATGGCAGCACTCATTTTGTATAAAAGTACAATATATATATATATATATAGAGAGAGAGAGAGAGAGAGAGAGAGAGAATACGATGGTGGCGCCAATGTATGTATGTACACGATCTAGAAGTACAGATTATGAAGAAACTTACCTCTCGCAAATGCATATGACCATGCAGTCGTGCATGCTCAATATCAAACTCATCATCTAAAAATGTTGCCTGCAAAGACGATGCATCAACTATGAGGCCAACTAAAAACAATAGGAGAGAATTAAATAATAATAATAATAATAATACAGATTTGATAGGCTTAACTGATAAGAAACAATTTCTCTTTTAACAAGTGAATTATGTGCTTGGAACTTGGATTAGTTCTCCACCAAAATTTTGCACAAGCTAATGAAGTTATTTTTGGTTGACCACGACGCACTTCGGATGAAAAAATATTAGGACCCAACTTCACAATTGTGAAATCTGAATATTAGGACCCAACTTCACCGGTTCTGGTTTACACCAGCCGGCTCAGATAGGGAGGCGGACAAGAGGGGGGGAGGCTTAATTAAACTTTGTTTGGGAGAAAAAATTTGCATTAGGGGCTGTTTAGGGATTGTGAAATGTTCATTTTATTTTAATTAGTCTCTCTTGTTAGGGTTTGGGATCATCTTGAATTTGTGAAATCTGAATTTGAGATCTAGGGTTTGTTGTTGGGCTCTAGGCTTCGGCTAGAGATTTGGAGAGCTGAATCTTACTCTCGAATTGAAGATTCATTGTATCGTGTTGTTGTTTTCCTTCTCTTATTGAATTTCAAGGGTGGTGTTTCTCCCTATTTTCCTAGGGATTATTGTGAAAACTGCACCGTTATTGCTGAATTTTAGTTTTTCTTGTGTTCAGTGGCTGTTTCCTATCACCTTCACACAAGCAGGTTAGTTTTAATAGAAAATTAGATAACGGTACCAGCTTTATGAAGTTAAGCACAATGTATAATTGACTATGCCATAACACGCAATCCATCCTATTTTTAGAAGGACTAAGGTATCAAATATGGTAGCGATTGAGTATAGAACTTAAAAAGGGAAAAATACATCATATAATAGCCCAAGGGGGCATATGCTAATTACAGGGAGTCAAATCAAGACAACAAAACTGAGCCTATTTCAAATCATTTTAAGCCCAATAGCCTATTTCTATTTATGACCGGATTTTTTTTTATTTGAATTATTTGATTGAAGTTTTATCATTTTTTTGGATAACAATAGATTTAAATTTGAATTCCTGAAGGACTAATTTTGTAAACCCATGCAACTATAAAATAAAAAAATTTGATACAAAGAAAACTTTTAGTTAAGCCCCTAAGGCTAGACTATAGCTTCTACCCACTATTCAACCACTACTAAAAGTGAGCTACTATCAATTTTTCTAAGATCATGGTTTTTACTACTAATTGCACCAGCCATCTGTGTTTCCACACAAGCCTCCACTACTTTGACCATATTGTATTTCACTTGTAATTTTTTATTTTGTGGTCAAAAGGCTTCCATGGGACTATTATTGAGTCCCCCATACTACTTTTGTTGGCCATAAATGAGATTTCCCCTCTTGTTTCTGAGTACCATATATATGTTGTAGAAACAAACCCTCTATTAAAATTTTAAGACATTCATCATGACGAATTGCCTACTGAACTTCATCCCATGAGGAACATTCAGCTAGACATATATTTCATGTCATTCATGGTTAACAAATTTAATATACTAAAGGATAAATCCCACTGAGCATGACGAGTTTAGATGCCAAGTATAAAAACTAGTGTAAAAATGATAGTTACAAGAAAGTTATAGTTCATGTGTTCATGTGATTCTTAATATATGTGTTTCATAATCGTAATTAATAAAATCAAGATAAATTATAGATTTCTCGTTCATATTGTAGATGACATGATGTCCAAGTCCCAACACATTTCAAAAATTAAGTTAAACGTATCATAGATCGAGATTCATCCCATGGATGAATGGAAAATAATATTCAACACACCTAATTTGTTAATTAACAGTTTGTTTATTGTCAAATGCACCTAAACTTCCTAAGCATGATGATCTAGGTGCTTAGGTATTCATTGGTAAGTTTAAATTAGTTTACTTTGACGACATGCTGATTTACAACTCGATAGAGACTAAGCAATTTGATCACTTGCGTTAAGTAATGTTTAAGTTAAGAGATGAGAAGTTTCATATTAATCTCAAAAAGTACAAATTTATACAGTTAAAAGTCATATTTCTTGAATTTGTAGCGTCTTTTATGCCTTTAGAACCATATCCCTAAAATATCAGGGGGGTCCTTGCTAAGGTTGACCTCCACTTCTATCTCGAATGTTCAGATTTTCATGGCTTAACTACATTCTTTTGACAGTCCATTAGAAACGACAGTTCTACCATGACCTCTTTGATAGATAATTTAAAAAAGACAAGTTTAATTAAAAGCCTTTGAATTAACAAAAGTATTGATGATTGCATCACAAGTTTTGAAACTCCCTAACTTCAAAAATATTTTTGAAATATTATACAATATCCCTAGTATTCATATAAGAGGGGGTTCTTAATAGAGAATGCCATCAAATTGCCTACTTTAGTGAAAATTTGAATGAGGCTACAACAACAACAACAACAACATCAAGCCTTTATCCCACTACGTGGGGTCGGCTACATGAATCCTTTTTCTCCATTGTGTCCTATTAAAAGCCAAATTCTCGTTTAAATCTAATAAAGAAAGGTCATATCTATAATGACAAGTTGAATGAGGCTATAGTACATTATTTATAGTAGATAATTTTATGCTCATATTTAATCTTTAAGTAATGATAATATTATTTGCTAGCAAAAAAATTATTTTCATTTCTAATACTTAAAAGAAGTTAACCGTAAACATGTCAAGTGGATTGAGTACTTTCAGGATTACAATTTATCTTGGAACCCACAAATGGAATTCAAAATAAACAAGATGGTGACGTCTCCTTACTCTTACAGTTTAATTTATGCACATTAATGCACCTGATTTTGACAAAATACAAGAGGACAATGCGGCATACCTTGGCTTACTTGATTTATCATGATAACAAGGATATTTCATATGTTTCTTATACTACTTCTATTATTAAGAAAGATATCTTTATAAAATTAGTAGGCTTTGAATTCCCATAACCTCTTCTTTTGATCATATTGTTTAAAAAAAGCATGTTGGTGGCATGGAAAGTCACATTGATTGGAATGCAATCATATTTCAGCTAGAGTGCATCCTTTATTGGTCTTCATTAAGAAGGTTGCTAGGATTGTTAATCAGTGTCATACTGTTTGTGGCCATGAAAGTATATTGGTGGCAGTAGATGGATTTTCTAAAATAACTCACTTTATTCCATACTTCAAGACTACTAATGCATATTATTTAGCAAAACTATTTGTTGGGAAAATTGCCAAGTTACAAGACTTAACTAAGATCATAATATTTGATAGAGATATAAGATTAGTTTAAATTCTGAAACATCTTATGAAAATTATAATATACTACGCTTAAATTTTCATCAGTCAAATAGTCACACTAATGATCAAATTGAAGTGGTAAATAGAAATCTTGAAAATCTATAAAGATATTGGGATCTACATCTTTCTATTACTGAATTTGTATACAATAATATTATAAGCAAATCTATGCAAGACACAATTTGAAATTATTCAGAATTTAAATCCTAAAAAGCTATAAATCTTATTCAATTAGCATGTCAATCATATTTTGATTTTGCTACATCTTCCACTACACATACACACACGCACACACATGATCTACATGATGGGGTTACAAATTAAATGGAATTGCATAATTATTCTAACACTAAATATTAAGATAATTATTCGAGAGTATAATGAAAGTGGCTTTCATCATTCATGCTTCGGGAAGATCATATATAATAAAGTACATAGTATGTGGTCATTTCAAAATGTAGAAAAATTAATTTCAATATTTATATTTAGATTTACCTCCCCATATATTAATTAGTCTTATTTTTAGCCTTAAAAATGTATTGACCCATTGAAGAATGTTCCAAACATAGATAATTTCTTGTTGACACTTCCACAGGAGAGATTTCAACTATAGATGTTGCTTCCATAGATCTCATTATTCCAATTATGTCTAGCTACTTAGATTCTAAAAGTATTATTTCATATGAAGCGATACATGAGGAAAATATTAAACAAAATATTTCAGTTAGATGAAAAGGCAAGTATGCTTTAGATGATACCTGAATGATCAAAGAGGAACTACAAAAGCTAGCCCCCGATCTCTTAGATGATTACATGAACATCGCTAGGAAAGTTCTTTGCCCATCAAAAGTTGATACAATACATGCCTTTAAGTGATGAGGACATCGTCAGCATTTTCGATGCCGGAGATCGATGGCCACGAGCATGAGTTGTATTTTCATTATTTTATGTAGTAGTTTATTTTTATTTTATGTTTTTCCGTTTTTGCCCTTATGGGTATTTGGTCGCTATTGTAGCCCAAGGGCATTTTAGTCTTTTGCGTTCTTTGTCATTTTGAGGCCTATTTATATGGCCCTCTTCTCATGTAAGTTTAGTTTTGATGAATGAAAATTTACTATTATGTGTTCTCTTAGTGAGTCCAAGAAGATCTCTTGGTGAGTTCTTCACCCTCTCGATCTCTTAGTGAGTTCGCCGGAGAAGACTAGATCTCTTTGTGAGTTCTAGTTTTCGTACTACCTAATCTTGTGAAAATTCAAGGTGAGGACATTTGAGGTTAGTAAATCCGTAGTCGTCGAAGCCTTGAAATCTCCATTTTCTTCCTCTTTCCCCTTGCCCTTGCCGCCGTCCAATCAAAGAAGCAAAGCCGCCGGCCACCTGTATTTTCCCCCCTGTTTTTGCCGGCCATAAATTCTGCAGCCGCCGGCCAGCCTCCCACCGGCCAGCAGCCGGCCACCCGCCGGCCAGCCACCCGCCGGCCAGTCTCCCGCCGG